TTTTATTTTGATCTAAGATAATTTTACTAATGGTAAGTTTAAAAAGGAGTTTTTTATTTTAGAATTTTCAGTTTTAATTAATATAATAATAATAAATTTTATAAAATTTTTATTTTATATAATATATGTATTATTATTAATATGCTTTTAATTACATAATAAAAAGTATAATGAAGAGTTGTATGATAAAAGAAATAAGTCAGAAATATTATTTAAAGAAAATAAGAAAGTATATTTTTTAATACTAGCATCTTTGAATAATAATTTTATAAAATTGAATTCAGTTTAACTGGTTTCACTATTTGTATAATTATATTTTTTTTAATTTTTAGCTTTAAAATATTTAAAAAAGAACTGTCAATACTAGTAATTTATTATTAAACAGATGAATCATAAAATCAAAGATAAATTTATTTTAGATGTATGATTCTTTTATTTATATATAAAGTTAAATAAATTTATAATTATAAAAAATATAGTAAAATACAAAGATGAAAATTTAAAATGAATATCATTAACATTAGAATTAAATAAAAAGGAAATAAATATATTTTTATTTCAATAATAAAAAATGAGATGTATAAGTAAAATTTGAAAATTATTATTATATAAAAAGAAAAAATATATTCTATTATAATAGTTAATAAATTTTTGATAGAAGAATATAATTGACTTAAATTAAACTATAATAATATCAAGAAACTTTTCTATATTTGAAAAAGTTTATATATATCTTTAACTGAAAAAAGTTCAAAAGGAATTTTAGATGAAAGAGTATCTAATTAAATAAGTAAAAATAAAGGCTATATTAATTTTTGAACTATTTTTTTTAAATTATATTATCATTATAGTTTTTGATTAGATAATAAGCATTAATTAATGATCAATAAAAATAATAAGCTAAAAAAAATAAAATAAATATTAATTAAGCATAAATTATAAAGAATGAATTAAATTATTATGCATAAAGAATTATTTTATTATAATTAGATTTTTTATCATAAAAAAGTATATTAGAGAAGCAATATTAGAAATTAGGTATAAATACATATTTTATTTAAAATTTTACTGTAAATTGAATTATATTAAATAATACTAGAAAGTAATAAAAAGATATGTTTGTGAAAATTATAATTATTCTTAGTCAAACTTATAATGTATTATTTATATAGCCTTAAAATCTGTTAGAATAATAATAATAAAATTTGCTAAAAAGGCATGACATTATATAAATTTATATAGGAAGGAAATAAGTAGTAAATTAGTAGAATATATTATTAAATAGTATAATCTTACCATTATATTTCTGATATACTGTATATAAAATTAAAATTAAAATCAAAAAGTCAAAATATTTTAATTTTAAAATTATAATCAAAATTAAAAGTCAAAATACTTATGATGATTAAAATGCATTATAATATTTAAAATCAATTATGATGATTAAAATATATTATAATAGTTAAAATTAATTATAAAAAATTAAAAATAAACAATATTTTATAATTTTATTAAAACAATGTCTAATTATTCTATTTAAATAATATTTAATCATTTAATTTGAACAATATCATATTATTTTATTTGAATAATATTATATTATTTTAATTGAATGATTTGTTATTATAATAATTTAATGATTTATTATCATTTAATTAAAATAATTTTACTGATCTGACTTGTTTGAAACTTTAATTATAATATATTTAACCATTATATATATTTTAAATATTATAATTAATTTTAACTATCATAATGTATTTTAATCATTATAATTGATTTTGACTTTTCAAATTTTTTAACAATTAATTAAAATTAAAATTGACTATTTTGACTATCTAAAATAGTTAAAATTAAATAATTTCAGTTTTATGTATAATTTTTAAATATGTAGTGAAAGAATTTAATAATAAAATAATAAAACTTTATATTATTTTTGTAATATAAAAAAATGTTAAATCATGTGAAATTCATATGAAGATTTACATCTGAATTTTAGATAAGTATAATTTATAGATGAAAACTATTATATTTATCTATTGTTTCAGTAATATTATTTATCAAAAATTTGAATATATTCTGATTTTTAAAGATTGAATCAGAATGATCTTATAATATTTTAAGTGATAAGTTAATTTTAATGGCTTTATGTATTTTCTGTTATTATTTCTTTATATTTTTATTATTATTTATATAATGTGTATTATTAATTAATATTATTAATTTAAAGTATAAGTGAAGGACTATATATATTTGGACTCTATTTCTGTTTGTTTACTTGCTTAATAATTAAGTCAATGCTGATTGACCTTTACAATTATATAAAAGTCTAGATAAAGTAATATCAGTTTGAATTTTTAGTTAATATTATTCCGAATTTAATAACTGTTTTTATTTTTTAGTTAAATAAATAAAGGATAAATAAATAAATTCTAAACAAATCTTATTGACCATTTTTTTTGCATCTGATAAACAAAGATAATGTTGATGACAAGGATATCTTAATAGAGTTTAGTTTTATCATTAGTGAAGTTATCTTATAAGAGAATCAAGAGTCTTATATAAATGTATTTAAAGAGATTATATGTGAATAAATATAGTTAATCCTTATGAGCAACTACAACTACTATGACCATTTTGTAATTTACTTATTTAGTATAATTTGCAAGCTGAATCTCTTAAAATTAATGCTACTTCCAATATCAGATGGTTTGCATTGAAGACATTTAGTAAGCAAAAACTGTTATTGCTTTTATAATCTTTTTTCTGGTTTGCATTTAAAACTCGTATATAAATGTAACTTTTTGTATGATAAATAAGAAGAAGGAAAAGTAATAGTGGTGGTAGTGATAATGGTAGAATCCACAATATTTGAGAGATCATAAAGTCTCATACTATCTGATAAAGAAAATGCTTTATTTTACTGTTGCAGTGTTAAACACCAGGCCTGAGTGGTAATAATAATGAACATTAAATAACAAAAAGTTAATTAAATTTACTTTTGATAGATAGAAATTTAAGTATCATGAATAGTTAGAATTAATCAGAGAATTTATTAATTATTATTAAACAATTTCAATGGTGAATAATAAATCCCATATCGGATGTAGACCGGAATTAAAGATTTCACGTGAATAAATGTGTTAAATCTAGTTTAAAGAATGCTTTGACGTAATTAATAATAATAAGCACGATAGAATTTACTTTACCGGATATAGCAATAGTTAACCCTCCCCGTTCGATTAGTTGTAATTTCTCTCTTTTTGTTTATAAAGTCACGTGAGATAGCGTTTTACGAATTCTTGTTTCTATATGTTATTCTTCGAAAATAAAAAAAAGTTTAGTTGTTTTGTGAAAATTAAGTAATTTCTTATATCTTATAATTTAATTCATAAGTTTTTATTACCAAATTGATATTCCCACAATGACGAAAGATTTGAAAATGACAAACATCGTCATACTAAAGGCGCATTTCGCGCGTCAAAGGAAAAGAATAATTAAGTTAGGCTATTTATTTTTAATAATTTATTTTTTTAATTGAAGATGGTTGGTAATGATGGTGGTCACAAGAAGTTAATGATATTCATTGACAAATTTCTTGATCTAGTTATCAAAATTATATAGCCCTCAGAATGTAATTTATTTATTCTAAATTGTACAAAATATTTATATACCAAGTTATATACAAAACAAAAAGTCTTATTTCGAAACAAAACCCTAGATCAAAAAAAAAAAAATAAAAAATTCAAACAAAAGAATAGATGATTTAAAAGAATTTGTTTAACCTATTACTAAACTTCCTATGAAATCTCTTATTACTAAATAATAGAGCAATTGTTATTTTAATCCCCACCCATTTATTTTTTTTTTTCAATTTGTCTACTCTTCTTTAACATTTTCTGATGCATTTACATCCGAAGTATTGACATACAAATATGATAAAACATGAGGTAATATTTTTTCTACCGATATTTTTCCATCTTCTTGTTGGTAATTATAATTCGGAATTACTACTTGTAGCCCCTAAGAAAGACGAAATGTTCCGGTCAAAGTTTTCATGAGAAAAAAAAGAAAATTTAAAACTGAAATCTTGAATGTTCATGTAATAATAACCTTGACGAGACCATCAGCGGCTACATTTTTTAATGCAACGAATCCATATTTACCCCACTCGGCTCCTTTATTGATTGCTTTTTGCTGTGCCCTTCCTAAGGTCGAGTCGATGTCTTCTTCGTGACGTGTAAGCGTCGGATCAACAAACGTATAATAAAAATAGGTAGCGCCCTGTGTTTGCGGAAGCATCAACCACAATATGAAAAGCATCTTGATCTCATAATAAAATGGAAACCTAGAATTAAAATAATGAGAATTCAACAAATTAACAAGTCTGATCAACAATTAATCAACATTGAACAAATATTGGATAATCAAAAGTTCTATAGTAGAAAAACATTTTATTCTTGCCAAAATATAAAAGTATCCGCAATTCCTTCACAAACGGCAAAAAAAGCTATTACAATCCAATATATCAACCACGGCTTAATACTTTTTGTGTCATCATCTTTAATAGCCTTGAAGGAAGCATAGGCTGGGTATAAGAAACCAGCAAAATTACTAATGAATATAATTATATTAAAAAAAAAAAAAGTTAAATGACAGAAGTAATTACAGTGTAAAAGAGAGTGTATGGTTAGACTTACTAAACTAATCTATAAAATAAATATCCAAACATATTTCAATTGACTTGCGATAAATAAGTATGTGAAAAATGTAAATGACGCGAAAGCGGTATAAAATATTGGTCTTGTGATCCTTTTGTGAGACTTAGAATTCTACAACTATACCTAATTAGGAGAGAATACTACATGTGTAACAATTAGCCTATTCTGGGAATTCATTCGTGTCAATAAAAACCCAAAGGATTGCAAGAATTTTACTGTGAAAAAGAAAAAGGACTTCTTTTTATTCTTAATAAAACAAAAGCGAACTGTATTTGAAAGATGGTTTCTGATTCTTCTGATGAGGAAGTAATCACTAAGAGGCAGCCTATAAAAATCAAACCGCGAACGTTTCTACCAAAACCTCGACGCGTAGTAACAAATGGTTCACCGACCAATACTTCCGCTTCAGTAACACAAAGTCCAAGTGAAACCGTCGAACCACTGGAAATTCGTCCAAACGCTTATAATGATGACGACGACGATATATTTTTTACGCGAAATACTACCTTTTCACGAAAAATGACCTCCAAAAAATCAAGTTTGTAACTTTAATTTCGCTTTAGTATGATGGAGAGTAATACAACTTATTGAATTCATTTTGTTTAAAATAGGAAGATCGGAAATCTTGAGAACACTTGAGGATAATCCTAAACTTCATACAAATGAGGCCGAGAAAGAAGAGGGAACTAAACGAAAAGCAAAGTCAAAGGGAAAAGGAAAATTATCGGACTGGACAACTTCTGATGAACCGATTACGATGTTTGATGAAGAAAGTGATCATATTTATATATCGTAAGTTTTTCTTCAACTAACAAGAGTTTATAATATTTTATTAACCCGAATTTTAAATTCTTTCTTCTTTTGATATTATACGCTTTTAGAGATGCGGAAGAACGTAAGAAAATCAGGATAAATCCAGATGAGAATATAAGATTCGACAGTCAGGAAGATTCTTTAACACCACCACCTGAAATTAGTCATTATCTGCTCCAATCTACTCTTGCTCCTTTACAGTATGGATTTCCTTTTTAAATGCAGTCAAACCTCTCTAAATGCATGCTCTCATTCAGTCCCAAGCATATAGGGATCGTATTAAAATGTTCTCTTAAATGCAGAACTCTATGGTCCCAAGGGGTGTGCATTTAGAGAAGTTTGACTGTATATATATATAAATCGAAGTAAAAATTCTTTTTCTCAGCCTAATATACAGTATAATTATTATAGTGCGGCTCTTTCACAGTTTTCAAGAACGATACGTTCTGATGGTAATGATATCGGTTCACCTATTGCAGCTTCCGTATTACAGGATGATATAGAGCTGGATCCTGAACTCTTAGCTATCCAACAATCTATCAAACAGAAGAAAAGAAATTCAATTCAATCTGTTGATACCAAAGTTGAAATTTTGGTAAAGCCTAAACATCATCTTTGCTCGTCGATATCCGGCGAGGATGGGGTTATACCTGATTATGAAAAACCTATAAAATTCATTCTAAATACAGTAAATATAACAACGCAACGAAAAATTTTTCATTTACCTTGTAGCATTTTACTAAGGTTATTATATTTATAGGAGGACACTTTTGAGCAATTAATCTCCCATCTATGTTCCAAAAGAGGAATTCCTAAACCAGACTTAGTATTGACTTACAAGAATGTTAAGGTTTTTCCTCGCGGAACCCCATCAAGTTTGGGCATGTCCGGACTTGTTCATTTGGGTAGGCCGTAATGTTGATTTTTAATGCTCAAAGTTGCAATTTTATACTTAATTTGATGGAATAATTTCTATTTAGAGGCCTTTACTAAAGAATCGTACATGCATTTTAAAGTACAGCAAAAATTTGAGAGGAAACGATTGTTCGATGGACTTTATAATGAATTGATGGATAACGATAATAATACATCAGTAAACTCTAGTCGAGAGACGATAGACATTGAAACTATTGATGAAATAAGAACTATAATAAATGAAGAAGAAAATTATATTTATCTCAAGGTTCAATGTCAAGATGAAACCGTTGAAAAACTTAAGGTCAAAAAGGCAAGTGTTCTCATATGTTGCAGTTACTTGATTAAAATATTAAATCATTTTCCTTTTTTTTTAAAGTCTCTCACAGTACAGGCTGTTATCGAACGGTATAAAAAGATTAAAGACATTTCGGGGAATGTTGCTATTAAATTGGTATTTGAAGATGAGGTATTGTTACCTGATGACAAATTAATAGATACAGATTTGGAAGATGGTGATATGCTATCCGTTAAAATTATTTAAAAAAAAAAAAAAACTGGCTTCAATCGATTATTAATTAGTTATTTGAATTTTCTCGAATAAAAACTTTTTATTATCATCTACTTCTCATTTTAGTATTTTGAAATAGGTAGTAAAAAAGTCGATTTTAAACACCAAAACCCCCCTTTCCAGATTCTTGACCTTTTTTAGCTAAAGCTTCCCCAATTTTCGTTGTAACTTCAATGTATTTAGAAAAGCATCTATCAATGCAAACAGATTCACCTTTATTTAATTCACCTTCGATATATTTTGGAGGGATACATTTTTTATAACAAGAATCCACAATTCTAAATGATAATTTTATTTAAAAGCAAAAAGTTGTTATTAAAAAAAACCCTTTTAAAGGCTTATTCCGTTTTTATATAATATGAATTACCTATAAAATGTTTCAGTTACGGCTTCATACTCTTGTTCTACCATAGCAACATTTTGTTGATTTATTTCTTGTGAAGAACCACCACCACCGCCAAATGGAAGGAAAGACATTGTTTTTTATATATGTATATTATGTGCGTTTAAAATGCGCGAGTAATTACAAAGCTTGCTCTTTTTTTTAAAAAAAAAAATAAATCTCGAAATTTCGATTTTAGAACGATTATGACGTATCCTTCCTTATCAAGTAACTCTGAATAAAAATGGTTCCCTAATGTTTTTTTATCATATAAATAAGCTTAATTTTTTTTAATGAAAATAAAAAATCACTTCCTCCTTTTTTTTTTTTTTTTAAAAAAAAAAAAAGAAGTATATACGTTTAAATATATATTTATAATGATTAAGAAATCTTCACTGAGGCGTAAAAATTCATTAAAAGAATCATTACAAGAACAATGGGACAAAACCTCCAAAGTTAACGTAAAAGAACAATTTTATTCGAAGACGCCTGGTAAATATACCGAAGTACAAAAGGCTAAATTTACAAAATGGGTCAATATACAATTACGTTCATTAGAAGAAGCGATAGCAGAATTAACACCTGTGGTAACGAAATCTTTTCTTTTTGATAAACCGAAAAAAAGTATACCACAAATTAAAGCAATAGACGAAGATTTTCGAGATGGAAAAAAGTTGATAGAATTGCTTGAAATATTATATGAAGATGATAAAGACTTGCCAAAACTCGAACGTGGTAAAACTCGACTTCATTATATACAAAATGTTAATAAAGTATTGGAATTTTTACAAAAAAAATTAGATGATGGTGGATTGATAGCATTAAAAGCCATCGGATCCGTTGATATCGTTGATGGGAATATTAAATTAACCTTGGGTTTAATTTGGCTAATAATATCAAAATTTATTCAAATGACTAGTAATATATTTGAAGTTACTGAAGAGGAATTAAATCAAGTTGAAGAAGGATTTAAAGAGGATGTTGTTAAAGAAAGTGAATTAACTTCAGATGGTGAAAGAGAAATAAATAGTGCCGCTTTTGAAGAATTTCGATCTCAATTTAGAAAAAATTTTGTTAAAGATTCAGGTAGTGATGAAAAAATATTTGATTTGCCTTCTATTATTAACGAAGAACCCGAAGAAATAATTCATGAAGAGGATGAATCAATTGAGATTCCGTCAACTGAGAATGAATCAACTGAGAGTAATTTATCGAATGATCAATCAATCGATGATCATTCAATCAAGGAGAATGATACTATTAAACCGATTCCTCGAAATTCTAGTATACGTGATCGTATTTTATCAAATAGTAATAATAGATTATCATTACCTCCAAATTATTATGACGGTAAAAAGGAAGGAAAGAAGTTTAATCCTAATTCCCCTGCCAGATTTAGAACATTACGTTTAAATCCATCATCTCCATCACCAATGAGTTCATCATCGGGATTATTGTTTTGGATTAATATGCAATTGATTGATTACGCTTCAATATTACCTTCAACTTGTTACCCTATTGAAGATTTTACTGGAATGAATGATGGGATTATGTTGGTAGCTTTAATTCATCATTTAAATATGGAATGGATTGATTTTGATTCATTAGTTAATGATGATGATAAAAGAGAAGAAACAAGTGATCAAGAGTTTAGAATAAAAGAAAGATTAACAAAATGTTTTGATGTATTAAACGAGAGATTAAATATTAGACAACCAAAAGCATTAGTTTCCATGTTAATTGAAAAGGATTATAGTGATCAAGAAAGGTTAAAAAGAACTGGATTAGCTTGGAGTGTTTATATTAGTGAAATATTTTTATCTACTGCTCATGCAAAAAATAAACAAAAACAAGTTAGAAGGCAAAGTAGATTAAGTTTACTTGAAGAAAATGACGAAATTACTGAAGTCAAGGAAGCAGAGGTCTCATCCAATAATAATATCGATAGTAGTAATCATAGGTATAATAGTAAGAAATCAAGAGGATGTCTTCCTTCCTTTGAAGATGATCGAACGTCACCATCAAATAGAGGTTCAATGGCTACCTCAAATTTACCTCCCTTACCTCCTTGGAGTCCTAAGGTTTCATTATTTTCTGCTGTATGGGACTGGACACTTAGTTGGATTCATGATAAAGATGATAATGATGATAACTACGATAGTGATGATTATGATAAAAATGGTAAATTAAAAGAAAAGGAAATGAGGACAATTACTAGAGGAAATTCCTCAAGAAGGCAACAAAATAAGTTGGATATTCAAAATGCTGATGAATGGAAATCTCGAAGAGACGAATCGTTAGATGAAGATCCTCTTCAATTATTAGCGAATACTCATCAACCTGCCTTATATATGTATTGGTCTTGAACATCATATATTTCTTTTCTCTTTTTTTCTTTTTTTTTTTTTTTAAAAAAAAAAAAACTAATTTAATTGGAATATAATGAGATAACATTTTATTTTACGATATATGATTTTTTATAATAAAAATACTTTCAAAATATTTAGTAAATTTTCAACGAGTAACTATTATTTTATATTTTGCAGTTGGTTTATTAATATATAAATATATATTTTCGCAAAATTCATAATCTGGATTGATGTCTTTATTTGTAAATACCATGGCGAATGACCCGTGTATTCCAAATAATCAAAAATAAATAGATAAAATAAAAATAAATTTAAAATACATGTTTCTCATAAAAAAAAAACAAAATAAATTGTATAACTAATATACATCTCTATCCTTTTTCTTTTTGAAAATAGAGCTAACAGCATCAGCAGCTTCAGTGAAGAAATTTCTACCATCACCGTCAGGATCACCAATCTTGACAAATATATTTTTAACGTCATTTTTAAATTTATCATCTCTGAAAATATTATTTCTAAATTCTTCTCCTACACTTTCCAATAAAGATCTTTCAAAACTTTCTAGATAAGGTCGGAGAAATTCCGATAATTTTTTCGGTAATTTAGCGAACATCCTATCAATAAAATTTCCATTCTTTCCATCAAATAGTTTTAAGACTTTAGTAAATTTATTTCCTCCTTCCTCATCTTTATCATCACTTTTTGAAAATAATCCTCGATATCGAGATTCCGCCTCTTTTTTTGAACTGAATAAATTCCCTCCTACTTTACTAAGCAAACTTTTCTTAACGTGTTTAGGTACATTATCGCTAATTTTTTCATCAATTTCTTCTCCTGAACGATGTACGGGAGGTCTAATAAGTTCCATAACTTTACTAATAATACCTTCTTTACCTTCTCTTAAGAACCCAAAATTCATTTGCTTGAAAAAGTTTTTAATATCATCATCATCATCATCATCATCATCAATGGCAAGATCCCAAACCACCCTTTTCGATTCGGTAGTGATAACATCGGTAAGTTTTTCGGCAGAATCCACTGTCGCTTCATCTAAATTTCTTCTTATATTCTCTCGAACATCTTCTTTAAAATCATCGGATAACTTTCCTGTTAATGATGTTATTGTCTTTAGGATATTTTCAAGAAATGTATCGTGATCATCATCTCCATCATCAATTCTTTTTTTAAGAAAATCCATAATTTTTTCCGGAAGTTCGTCTATTATGATCGCTTTAAGTTTTACGAGATTTTTGTCAACAATTTCTTCTAATTTATCTCGATGTTTATCAATGTATTCTTCAACCGCTCTTGCAATTCTGTCACGCATTATGGCTAAGAGAAAGAAATTTAGAGGTATAAAAATATATATACACACGATAAATTTGAACAAGGAATTACTTTTTTTTGAGGGGATTATATGTGGGAAGATTAATGGCGTTATTTTGTGTCATGATTTCATAAGCCAGGATTGTCATTACGTATGTCCTAAATAATGTAAATAATTAAATAATCAAATACTTATGGCGTAGAATGACGCGTCGAATATTTTTTCTATAGTTGGTTCTGACTAGGGTCTGCGGCGTTAAACTCAAATTATGCTTGCTTTATATAGTTAAATATGCAAGTATATTCGAAAATTTTTTATGGTGCAGATCATCTAAAAGTAGAGACTGGACTAGAGACTGGACTCTTATTCGGTCAACTCGAGTTAAATTCTGATTCGAGTCAAGATTTTCAAATTTATGCTATATTTTATAAATAGCGTGTAATTCTTTTCTTAAACTGCATTTATTAGCATAATATAATTAACATTTATTATATAATCATTGAATAAAAATTTTTTAAAAAAATTTCCTTTAGTTCGGCCCCAAAAATATCACAAAATTTTGGCCCGCATTGTATTTTTCCGGCCCGCATTATGACTTTAAATCGAGATTGACTTGAATTTCCAACTCGAGTATTCTTCGAGTCAAAAATTTCTTGATTCGACCGTATAGGCGGATTTGACTCAACAGCTTCACCCCCATAACAAATAATATGCAATCACACCCCATCAGTGATATATCACATTATTTTATATTACTTAAATTAGAAAAAACGCGAACATGAATTTTTTGCTTTATCAGTACGCGCGTTCCAAAATACTTTTGTTTTATAATGTCTTTTACATGTTTTCTTTGTTCTACCAATACTTCCAAAACTTTTTCGTCTAAAAACTCACTTTCTATTCATGAAAGAACCGTTCACCCAAATAATAAAATAATACCTCATTCACGCTGCCTAACTTCTCCATCTTCATATGATATTCGCCACTTTAAACATTCTTTCGTAATACAATTAAAGGCACGCTTACAATTTCACAGAAGTGAACCTCGAGTAAAAACTTTAAAAATGGAGCCCTTTTCTGAAGGACTTTTTATTATTTTATTCTATAATTTACCAACTTTTCAATATTCTCCTGTAAAAAGAATGTATACCTGTAAGTTCGAAGGTAGTCAAGGATATGAACAATTAGGGAATTTTTTTGATAATAAAAACTGGGGTAGCAAAATGCGAAGGACAGGAACGTGTGCATATGTTTTAATGCAGAGTGCGCGACAAACCTATAATGTTACTTTTTGTTGGAAAGAACGTGTATATAAAGATTCTGATATAGAATTACGTTGTGGTTCTATGCGCTTTGAATTTAATATTGATGTAAGAGATTTTGTAGAAGGTAATTGATTTATGTATAATAATTAGAAATGTAAATAAGAGGAGATATTTTCAAGCAAAGAAATTAGTAATAAAATTTTAAAAAACAAGAAATTGTATATAAAT